GAGCCTGGCTCAGGAGGGTGAGGACTATAGGGTACGGATAGCCACCGGGTAAAGCAAGGACATGTGCTCGGCCCCCTTGATGGGCAGCTTGCGGCTGGCGTAGTGGTGGATGATCTCCGGCACGCTGTCGAAGGGAGGGCTGTGCTGACCCAGCACGTACTTGTTCTCCTGCGTCCGTGACAGTCCTGCAAGGAGAGATCAAGGCAGGGTTAGTGGGTACAGCTGGCACCAGACTCTCCTCAGCTCCTGAATTCCCTGAGACAAGACAGCCTGCCCTGCAGCCAGGGCATGCTGCTGGCTCCTGTGCACACCCCCAGCCCTGCCTGCACCATCCTGCTCCTGGCCAACTCCAACAAAGCCCACAGAGCAATGGTCACGCTGCACTGGGTCCTCCCAAGGAGCACAGCCATGCAGTAAGGAGCACAGGGTCCCTCCAGGGACAAGGAGAGTGCTGAGGCTGGGGGAGGTGTGTGCAGTGACAGCATCACCTGGGCAGGTGCAACGGTGATGCAGGAGCAGCAGCTTTCACCCCCTGCACGTGGTAAAGCCCCTTCTGCAATCGCTCTGGCTCACACAGGAGCAATCCAGCTCACAGATCTCCAACCTCTCCGTGGCAAACCAGGATTTTCTCCTCCCCCCACCCCTCGCCACGGCTGCAGGCTCCATAAAACCCGCTCAGCGTAGCAAGGCCATTTCCCGGCACAGCACGGGCACCGAGCCACGCCAGGCTGTACAGGCAGATCCTGCCACGAACGCTGATTCCAAGTGACGGGCTAATGGCCCTGTTGCTATTAATTTGCGTCTCCGAGGAGAGCCACAGCCTGTCTGCAGCGTCTGGAATGCACATTACGGCAAAATATTGATGACTTAAAAGCAGACAGGACCTCATCAGCGATGCTGAGCTGCTTCCAGCGCTGCACAGCTCGGCCCCATCCCCCCGGCTGGAGATGGGCCTTAACGGCCCTGCATTAGCAGGATGGGTCTGCAATCCATTTGGAGACAGAAGCAAGGAGCCAGCAGTCCCGAGGGAGAGCAGAAGGGACAGCCACAGACCCTCATCATCAGGGAAAAGGGATAGCTTGGCCACATCCCGTGGCCCAGCAGCAGGGAGCTGGAACGCTGCCCCACGGGGACCACAGGGAGGTGATGCTGGTTGTGTTCGGCCCAAATCGCTCCATAGATCTTTGTCACAAGCTCAGGGACTGAGATCACACCCCTGGAGGAACACACCTGAGGGAACATGCTGCAAATCCTAGCAGCCAGGACATGGGGCAGGTGCTGCTCCTGCCAAGCACCTCACAGACATGGGGAAGGATTTTTGCAGTGCGGTCTGAGCTGCTCTCAGGGGAGGCACAAACCAGGAGGGACTCATTCTCCAAGCATCTGAGGCAATGGCACAACCCTGTCCATGACAGGCTGTGTGGGGCTGCCTAGCCTGGACCAGCCAGGCAGGACAAACCCTGTCACAGCAGGGTTAAATCCATCTGGCTACCTGACCCACTCCTGCTGCTCTCTCTCGTGCACATTTTCCTTTAAAGCAGCACAAAAGAGCTTTAGGTCAGCATCTCTTTCAGTCCATCTCCTTGGCTGTGCCTCCTTCCTCAAGGCAAAAAAAAAATAAAATAATAGAGAGCTGCAGACAGGCAGCTTACAGCTATATAAAAAGTGTCCCGGGGGATTTTCTTGCACAGGCTGTACAGAGAAAGGCAATTGAGTAAAAATCCTGCTCTCGAAGCTGTGGGCTCTCTGCAAACCCTGCAAGGACAGGCAATGCCCAAGCAGGTCCCAGATGAGTTGCAGTGTCCTCTGGGGAGGAGGCACACTGCTGTAGGGTCACATCCTAGCCAAACATTCCATCTGAGAGGAGGACTTGGCCATTTTGCCATGAGGCTAAGGATAGGTGGTAAGAAGAAAGGAAAAAACCACCAAGAAATGGGTGACTGGCTGGTGGAGATGTGACGCAAAGTGGCAGCAAAGGGGCAGTCCAATGCCACCCCCTGGGCTCTCCAACACACAATGGGCTAATGCCACCCACAAGGTGATGGTGAGACCTCTTACAGCCTCAAACCTGGCTCACTGACCAGAAGAAGCTGTTGCTTCAACACTGCTCACAAGCCAGGGCAAGGAAAAATTGAGAAAATTAAAAGACTGGTAAAAATTTGGACAAGAAAAAGGGAAATGATGGAGCTTTTCCCAAAAGACTTGTTGGCTGATCTGAAAGCTCTAAGTGCAGAAGGAAGAATATTTTCAGTGGAACTCCTGCCCTGGTCTGGTGCTGAAGGCAGCAAAAAATAGTGGAAAAAATATATAGAGAGATTGAGCAATCTAATTCACAATTATGCCACTGGGAAATAAACAGAGAAGCTGAACCCCCTGGGGAGCAATGCAGGTACAGAGACCACTGGGGAAACTCAGAGTGAATTGAGAAAAGAGTATGGATATGGGGCCTGTTGTTTGGCAGAGCTGAAGTGCTCCATAAATTATTGTTTCCCATCTGGCAGGAACAGAGCTAATATAGATGTCCAGCAGAAGGGCAAGGAGGTATTTGCTCATCTATCATCATCTTCAGACAGTAATAGCTTTGCTTTTGTGGGTTCCAACTGCCCCAAGGACCAGGAAAGAGCTGGATGAGGAGCTGTGGGCAGGTCCTCCCTGGCAGGACATGCGTGGCAATGTTTCATGCAGTTTTGGCACTCAGGGAATCTGGAAAACTTGGGGAGGATGTAAAGATCCCCCAGAAAAACCCCAGAAAAAAAAGCAGGCTGTGCTGTGGGGATGAGGTTTCCCTGCTGGGAAACCAGAGCAGGGCAAAGCTCTCTTCACAGTGTGACTGAGCAAGGGCTTCAATAAATCTGTGAGCTGGGGAGGCAGGGATGGGACCCACATTTCCATCAACAATGGGATCGCACAAACTTTCTGTTCCCCTGGAACCAAGCTACAAAAAAAAGGGGGAACAAGAAGGCAGAGCTGGAAGCTGTACCCAGACACACACAAGTGAGCAGTGAGGCACATCACTTGATCCACCCGAGGGATTACTAGCACTGCCAAGCGCAGTGAGCCTCAGATCTCCAAGCCTTCCCAGGAGATGCTTTGGCCAGACACCAAAGCAAAAGCCTGTGCCATACCACAGAAAAGCATGGACTTGGTATTCCAACCACTTCTGACCACTCGTGGTCATCTCAGAGTCACTTCATTGGTGTGGGAACACGTTCACATGGGTCCAG